GATGAAGGATATCCATGTAAAAGAATCTGGTAAGATCTGGATCAAAACAAATCTAGCAATTTACATTTCCCATCAGTTAACACAAACTTATTATGATGAGTTTCCTTGAAATAAGAGACTGACACCCCCCAAATCAAATAATGATAACTAATATCATTATCATTATAATGGCGACTCCTTTCCCCCATCCTGTTCCCCTTCCTTCTGCTGCCACTTCCTTTAACCTTGAACTTGACATGGAACATTGCTGGGACCCCTGACCATAGCAGGAGAAGGAACAAACCAATGTCTTTGTGCCAGAGGAAGAACTTTTCCCTTTAGTATGAACACCCAAATGTTGACATCATGTTCTGGTTTTCCTCTTACTTTCTAGAACGACACAAGAAAGAAAAGCCAAGAGAAATGGGTAAGCAAACTCTTATTTTGTCTTCTGCACTACTGTGGAACATATGGGCATTAAGGGGATATTGATCATTTGTTTTCAAACTATGTCATAATTAAAATGTTGGAATATTTTTCTTTTAGCCAAACTGCCAAAGAAAGATATGCATGTAAACAAAACTGGTAAGTGCCATGTAAAATATATATCTAGAAAATTGCACCTTTGCATTTGAAGAATTGTTAATACATTAACATAACTTTATGAAGATGAGAGAAATAATGTTTTGCTCTTTCTCTGATTGTCTAGAACCCCACAAGAAAGAAAAACCATTAGAAAGAGGTAAACATGAATTACTGCCTCTGCTCTCATAACCTTTGCTTATATGAAAGATAATATATTACAGCTGGACAACATTTATTAAAACTCAGTACTTTTAACTTTTCACTTTAGCCAAGTTACCGACGAAGGATATCCATGTAAAAGAATCTGGTAAGATCTGGATCAAAACAAATCTAGCAATTTATACTTCCCATCAGTTAACACAACATTATTATGACGAGTTGCCTTGAAAAAAAGAGACTGACCAATAAATAAATAAATAAAAAAAAAATAATGATGCCCACGTGGTTTAGAATAGAAAATAGAATTGACTTGAAAGAAACATGGATGCCTTCTAGTCCAGCCCCCTGATCAAGCAGAAGACCTATACAATAAGACCTATACTCTAAGTACAGCGCTCCCATCAGTAATCACTAGCCATTAAATAGAATCTTGTTAAACTGAAAGTATTTCTCACTTCCTTTCCCTAGCCTTTTAGAGGAAGGGTCCCTTCTGAAATGCTTCCCAGGCTTTTCCCCCACCTAGAAAATTGCATCTTTTCATTTGAAGAATTGTTATAATAGCAATAGCATTTAAACTTATATACTGCTTCATAGTGCTTTACAGCCCTTTCTAAGTGGTTTACAGAGTCAGGATATTGCCCCCAACAATTTGGGTCCTGATTTTGTTGACCTTGTAAGATGCAAGTCTGAGTAAATCTTGAGCCAGTGAGAATCAAACTGCTGAAGTGCTGGCAGCCGGCAGTCCACAGTCAGCAGAATTAGCTTGCAGTACTGCATCCTAACCACTGCACAAACCAAGGCTACAATGTAATACATTAGCACAACTCTATGAAGATGAAAGAAATAATATTCTGGTCTTTCTCTTATTGCCTAGAATCTCACAAGAAAGAAAAGCCATTAGAAACAGATAAACATGAATTATTGCCCCACCTTTGCTTATGTGAAATATATTAATATATTACAGCTGTGCCACTTTTATTAAAACTCAATACTTTTAATTTTTCATTTTAGCCAGGCTACTGATGAAGGATATCCATGTAAAAGAATCTGGTAAGATCTGAATCAAAACAGATCTAGTAATTTTAAATTCCCATCAGTTAACACAAAGTTGTTGTTGTTGTTGTTGTTGTTGTTATTATTATTATTATTATTATTATTACTATTATTATTACTATTATTATTATTTGCTTATTGCTTGTCTTTGTGCCAGGGGAAGAATTTTTCCCTTTAATAGGAACACTCAAATGTTGACATCATGTTCTGGTTTTTCTCTTACTTTCTAGAACGACACAAGAAAGAAAAGCCAAGAGAAATGGGTAAGCACACTCTTATTTTGTCTTCTGCACTACTCTAGAACATATGGGCATTAAAGGGATACTGACCATTTGTGTTCAATCTAGGCCTTAATCAAAATGTTTGAATCTTTTTCTTTCAGCCAAAGTATCAGAGAAAGCTGTGCATGTAAACAAAACTAGTAAGTGCCACATAAAAATAAATCTAGAAAATTGCACCTTTCTGTTTGAAGAATTGCTATAAATTAACATAACT